TTAGAAAGTGAGCCAAATTTGATAGCATTTTACTTTAATTTCACTATTCACAAACTTTTATGGTGCGTTTAGGTGCATCATTAAGTGTATTTTAGTGTAAATTAGAGGTATTTTATGTCTGCAGATGATGAACTTGAAAGATAGGCTATATGACAGAAATGCACAAGAGATGTAATTAAATGAACAGAGCTGGCCACACGTATAGTACACCTTCTGTTAAACTAATATATAAAACATGTATATGATTCATTGACATTTTATGAAAGATATAATTTACCTATTTAGAGAGTACTGATAGTTTGTGTAGCTGCTTGATTAAGCTAGTAATGAGGTACATTAACAGTAACAGATTTAAAAATAAAAAGGCTAATATAAAAATATAAAAATAAAAAACTCTTAAAAGCAATTTCAGCTTTAAAGGGCTATCCGTACATGGTAACAGTGCAGTTACTATGTGTAAAAATAAATCTTTAAAAAAATGTATATAGTACTTGAATGATGAACTCCTGAAAATCAGTAATAGGTTGCTTTGACAGTTACAGATTTAAATACAAAAAGGTGGGAAACAGATAAAGAACCCTCATACCATTTCAGATTTAAAGCGGTGTCTAGGACAATATGGCTCAAAACAGAACAGTTAATATGTAAAAAAAGAAAAAAAAATCTTTATATAGTACTTGGGTGATTGAACTCCTGAAAATAAGTAACGAGTTACATTGACAGTGACAAAAAAATAAATAAATTAATAATAATAAAAATAAAAAATACTAGAGGCAGAACAACATTCAGAATTAAATGGCGATTCTGGACAAAATGGTACTAAAAAATACAGTTATGTGTAAAAATAAATAAATAAATACATTTTCTGAGCTCCAGAAAATAAGTAGTGAGGTATTTGAAAACAAAAAGGCGGGAAATAAAGAATGCTAATATTTATCACAAAATAGCATTTTGAAATTATAGGGCTATTAATGATGAAATAATCCTTTAAAGGACTATCTTTTTTAGTGTGTACTTGGTTGACTGAGCTCCAGAAATTTAGCAGCCTGGCCTAATATGCTGCTTTGACAGTTACAAATTTTAATACAAAAGGCGAGAAAAAGATACCCTAAATACCATTCCAGCTTTAAAGGGGTGTTCAGGACCACATGGCTCTAAATAAAACAGTTACTGTTAGTAAAAATAAACCTTTAAAACACTTCTTTATAGTACTAGAATGATTGAACTCCTGAAAATCAGTAATGAGGTACAGTGACAGTGACAAAAAAGGTGAGAAATAAAGTCCCCTAATCTTTATAACAAAACAACATGTCAGAATTGGCTATTCTGGACAAAATGGTCCTACAGTTATGTGTAAAATAAACAACTATCTTTTTTATTGTGTATTGGTTTACAGAAATAAGTAATGTGGTACTTAAAAACAAAAAGGTGGCAAAAAAGAATGTTAATCTTTATCACAAAATAACATTTCAGAATTAAAATAATGTTTTAAAGAACCATCTATTTTATTGTGTACTTGGTTGATTGAGGTCCAGAAAATCAGTAGCCAAATAAGTTGCCTTGACAGGTACAGACTTGAAAAACAAAATGGCGGAAATGAAAAACCCTAAACTCAAACAGAAACATTTCAGCATTAAAGCGTTTTTTAGAACAACATGGTCAGAATGGAACTCCTACTATACATAATCCTTTAAAGAACCATCTTTTTATGCAGTACTTGGTTGATTGAGCTCCAGAAAATTAGCAGCTTAGCCTAATAAGCTGCTTTGACAGTTACAGATTTTAAAAACAAAATGGCGGGAATAAAGAACTGTATACTCTTAACACTAAACCATTTCAGTATTAAGCGTTCTTTAGGACAATATGGTCTGAATAGAAACTCCTACTATGTATAAATAACCTTTAAAGAACCATCTTTTGTAATGGCGGGTAGCTGTCTGCAGGGTGAAGCTAAATGAATTCCTGACCTGATCTTTACCTTCAGGAGAAAATACAAAAAAATAACACAACAACAAACATGGCAGTTCTGTTTAAAATGCCAAGTCACTCTGGACTTGCAGTTAACCGTCTCACTGCTGCAGTATCGACTGCAATAACTGCACTGCTTTTCAGAGCCACAGTCACAAATTCTAATTATTTGCCAATAAAGACACGTATTGTCAAGATAAACGCCCAAAGAACAAAACACGACCGAAATGATCAATATAAACAACCTTTGCAAAGACATTCATTTTTAGCACAATTACAAACACCACCACAAAACAGTGATGTTTCCAGTTCACAGCTACTTAGAGTACTGGCTTGGTCAAACTGCTGATGAGCCACAGAATAATATACAATATAATGTACAATATTACATAAAATGACATAAAACGTGTCCTCTCTCTGTAAACATTGAGTCACTGTACAAATGGAGGTTAACATACTCTGCTGCTTGCATTACAAAGGACTGCATCACCACTGAAACACTATCGGACTTGCAGACGCTTCTGTCACAAGGTGATCAATACAAGATGTGTGTGTTGTGTTGATCTAGATCTAACAAACCCAGCCGTTAGGGATCATCTGCATTTTACGGGATTGTCTGAAGGATGAAGAGACATGTAAGTAATAAACACATGCATTATACACACATAACTACTGAGATTAATTAAATGTTTTTGTTTAAATGTGAAATAAAATCTCTTTTTTTTCGCTGAAAAAAAGTCTAATTAATGTACTCTAATTCAGTTAATTGTCTAATTAACTGTTAATTAAAGGGATAATTCACAAAAAATAATAATTAAGTCCGTAATTACTCACCCTCAAAACTTCATTCATCTTCAAAACACAAATCCAGATCCGATGGCTCTCAGATTTCATCTAAAGTATCTTTGTGTTCTGAAGATAAATAAAGAAATTTGGATCAATGTAAAAAAAATGCTGAGGTACTTGGTTGTTCTGTGTGGTTGCTATGGTATTTTTTGTGCACTGTAAAAAAAAAATGGGTGGCCTTAAGTTTTTAAGTTTAATCAAATTAACCCTGTGTGAGTCCATTAAACTTATATTATGTTAAACTGACTTAAAACAGCTTGAGTAACTTATAAAATTAAGTTAAAACATGATTGACTTAGTTTAATAACTTACAATGACCTAAAAACATGCTGTCTGGACTAATTGATCATATTTTTTTTAAAAAGTGTGGTTAGTAGGGTGTTGCTAGGTAGGTACTAAGGTTTTATGTGTGGTCCACAAATTCCTGCATGTTGTCCCAACACAAATGGATTAAGTTAACTTAATTGGTACTTGGTACTTGGGTGTTTTGTGGTTGCTATGGTTTTTTGTGGTTACTAGGGTGTTGCTACTATATAGGTATTAAGGTGTTCTGTGTGGTTACTAGGGTGTTCCTAGGGAGTATGGTGTTGTGTGGCTGTTATTCTGTGTGGTTACCAGGGTGTTTCTAGGCAGGTACTAGGGTGTTGTGTGTGGTCCACAACAATTCCTACATGCTGTCCCAGCACAAATGGATTAAGTTAACTCAATAGTTTTTACAAATTTAAGTGCATTGAACATAAAACAATTAGGTTATCCCCCTCAAATAATTGTGTTGCCTCAACTCATTTTAAAAGAGTGGTTTGAGCAAGCAGCAAAAGTAATTATCTGAGTAAATGACATGTTATTAATGATATTCAATTTTGGATGAACTATCCCTTCATCAGGTTATGTATTTTGTTTTCATAGGAGTCGTGATTTTTACTGCCATTTTTTATGTTGAAAATTTTACTCTACAGTTTAGCAAAGTGACTTTAATTTAGGAGTTTTTTTTTATTTTTGTTATTTCTTAGATTTTTGCTAAATTGTTTATTAAACATATACTAAGTACAAATAATAAATGTTAATTTTCCCAGAGATGGGTTGCGGCTGGAAGGGCATCTGCTGCGTAAAAAACGTGCTGAATAAGTTGGCGGTTCATTCTGCTGTGGTGACCCCGGATTAATAAAGGGACCAAGCCAAAAAGAAAATGAATGAATGAATGAATGAATGAATGAATGAATGAATAAATATTAATAAATATAATAAATGCTTATTAATAATTAATAAATTTAAATACAATATAATAAATAAATAAATAAATACAAAATTAAATATTGTAATTGCAACAAACAAATTAAATTTAGTAAAGCAAATGTTTAAATTTTAAATTAAAAGAGTAGGGGTTTAAGCCCGGCATCCTGTCTAAATTTGGCCACTGCATCATGATCTCCTAACCAACACCATATAATAATTGGCTTCATCGCTCTGCCTCCTCTCCATCAATCAGCTAGTGTGTGGTGTGCGGTCTGGTGCAATACGGCTGCCGTCGTGTCATCCAGGTGGATGTTGCACACCGGTGGTGGATGAGGAGATTCCCTCAAAAATGTGAAAAGTGCTTTGGATGTCCAGAAAAGTGCTATATAAATGTATGGAATTATTATTATTATTATTGTTTTATATATATAGACAATACATCATGTCAAACTACTAAAAATGTAACATAAGTACACTTTTAAATGTCAAAACTTGTCAAAGCACGTCAAGGCTCCATAATGCAATTCAATATGTAAATAAATTGAATAGCCTAAATTCGACAATCATTTGGAAATACAATTAAAATTCATGGATATATTTTACAGTACCCTCTTAAAAATCCAATTAGCCATGAGATTTTATGATGATAGATTTTATTATATAATACATAACAGATGTTTTTTTTTTTTTTTTTCCCAACAGTTAACATGCATCATCAAGAGGAAAATAGTCCTTCCGATTGTCATAAATGGGCTCAGGATGGTTTTGCTAAGCCTGTACAAAAACAAATTCTTTCACAAACCTATTGCTTCACTTCATTCACTTCAGTAAAGTGTATTTTTTGTCTTTAGTCTATGTGGATAGATAATAAATAAATAAATAAAAATATTGGGGTGAACTGTCCCTTTAAATGTTTGCTGTTTAAGTATGTCAGCACTAGCAATTATACTAATACAAAAAGTTTACGATCTTCACTCAATCAAAGATAGCTATGCGTCTTACAATACAAACAAATTTGTATCAGTTCCCCTTGTGCTTTCATTCATCAGCGTTTTAACCAAGACCCTGCTAGTAAATCCTCACGCGCAGTGCAGCAGTGTGCAGAAAGTTAACGTCAAACAAACTTTATCCGGCTGCTGCTCGACCCTCCACAGGTACCAAGCAGCCCCTCAACGAGCTCTAGACATCTGTGCGGTCGCTTTAACTGTCAATTCGATGTCGCAGTGGACAAATTTCAGCCATATTCGCGAAAGGATCCTGTAGTTCCCCTAGGAAAGACGACGACGACGCGTAAACTCTGGAAGTAAACCTACAGTACGCGGCTGGAAAGCGGGACTGTCTTCGGATTACAGACATATTTATTATTGTCACTTCGTTTCATCTCGCTTTTGATTCGGAGGAAACATGGCTCGAATGCTGAGCAAGGAGCTGCCTGATATCGAGGTAAATAAACCATCTCTGTCAAAACATGAATGGATGTTTACGGGGTTTCAGTCAGACATGCATTAATCTTTTATACTAAACATGAATGCACAGGGGCACTTTGTGAAACATGGATAATGTGTTTTAAACGACGCCCTTTCCTGTGGAAATAAACTTTTTGTGTGTGTACCTAGCTGTAGTAATGTCCTTAAGTTTGCTTTAAACATGCCCACGTTGTTGTTGTTGTTTTGCTTTGTTACATTGTTGTTGTTTTTCGGAAGTATGAAAGTTCAGTCAGTCGGGTGTTTCAAGTCAAAGTTTCATTGCAAGACACTTATTGTAAGATCATGTCTGTTATTTTGCATTTTTATCAGTCTTCATGTTAACACATTTTAAAACAAACCACAGAATGCAGTTTTGGTTAGTTAACCCTTTAAGTAACATTTCTTGTTGGTTTTGTCGATGAGTGTTTTGAAATAGAGTACTGCATGCTGCAGCACACACTAGTTAGAAAACTTAAAAATAGCAAAATAGTATGCTGGTAGAAAAGTGTTTTAAATAGCATGTTTCATTATTTTTCTAATAGGCTGGTTGTAGTTGTAGGCTGCTTTTTAGTGGTCTGTTAATTTACAGTGACCATTGATGAAGGTTTTTTAATAATCAATTTAAAGAAATATACGGTGGCCGAGAGAGCTTAACATGCTGTTATTTAAGAAAACACATGCAATTACAAAAACGCCAGCAAATTTAGAAAAGATCTTCATCAGTTTGATAGCACACGTGCTGCAAATCGTGAACGCAAACTGTTTTTAAAAAACACGCTGCATTTTCACACAACGCAAACAATTAATAAAACGCACTACATTTTCTCACAACGCAAACATTTTACGATACGTGCTGCATTTTCTCACAACACAACATAAATGTTTCAAGTAGACCCTAAAACATGACAGACCTGGCTATTATGGTTATTAAGGTTAAAAAATACTAACGATACAGAAATTGGGATATTAAAATTGACAAACAAAAAACCCACCTTTCACCAACTTCACTGAGCAATAAGCTGCGCCCGAAATCTCCTACTTCCATACTATATAGTACGCTAAAATCAGTATGCAAGACGAGTAGTATGTGCGAATTCATAGAACTCAAAAATCGGTATGCGAGAAGCATCCGAATGACTTACTGCCGGCGAGATTCTGAAGTGTGCTTCGGATGGACGCTACACTATCCCATGATGCCCCGCGAGAGAATTAGTAAATAGGAGTGAATTGACAAAATGATCGTGACAAAATGGTGGATGTAGCATGTCCAAGTTCCATTCATACTGTTCACATTGATATTGTATAGAACATACTTTTCTAACGACTAAGTAGTATGTTTAAATTCAAATGCAGTACCTACTGAGTAGTTGATGCTTTTGGACGCAGCTATAGTCACTGCACAGTGGCGTCCATCATATTTTTCGGTCTCCTTGAAACATTTCCGCTGTGTTCTGTTGTTTTTGTGTTGTGATTAAATGCAGCACGTTTTCGTAAAATGTTTGCATTGCAAGAAAATGCAGCACATTTTATTAATTGCGTTGTGTGAAAACGCAGCATGTTTTTAAAAAATCTGTTTGTGTTGTGATGATTTGCAGCACATGTGCTGTCAAACTGAGAAAGATCTCTTTTTTTTTTTCCAATTTGCTGGCGTTTTTTGTAATTGCACATGTTTTTCTAAATTTTTTCTCTCTCTGCCACCGTAGAAATTAACTAGTTGATACCAGATAGTTTCATTATAACAAAGCAAAGAAATTTAAGGTGGTGCATTTACACAACATTTTATAAACATATCTTGGCTACAACAATGGCGAACAATGGCATGTAACAATACAACAAAATATACATTTCCAATGCGAACTTCTTGAATGGCTTTCATAATACAACATATTTAATAGTTTTTGTGAACCTTGTGAATGGAAATCATTGTGAGAATGTTGTTGTCTCTGTGGAAAAACTTTGGGAAATTGTTCTCTCGTAAACATACTCTAATATGCAGATTTATGTATGTATCAACAGATAAGACTGTCGAAAATTGGTCAAAATCTTGTCTACAAACATTGAATTCTTTTAAACTGCAGCATCCCATTATTATTGACATTTTTATCAAAGTGAATGAACTACAGAGAAAGTTTTATAATATAGTTTTCAGCTGGATCATGCTGGACATGCTGGACTATTTGAAAATAAACAAGCTGACAAAGCCACCAAAACAGCCCTAGCAGGAAAGCTATAGGAGTGCAAAATCCCACCTATGGAAGCCACTAAAAAAGGCTATATTATCAACAAGTGGCAAACAGAATAGGATCAGTGCTCAGAAAATAAACTTTTTGAAATTCAGCCAGAAATAGGAGGAAAATCCAATTTATTTTTAAACTCAAGACATGATGAGATTGTTTACAGAAGATGCCGCATTGAACACATGATACTCACACATGAACATTTATTGAATCGAGAAGAACCCCCCAAAATGCCAATATTGTAGCAGAAACCAAACGGTTAAACATATACTTTTGAAATGCCCTATTTTAAATGTTATTAGACAATAATATTTATCTGGAGAGATTTTAAATGAAATTTTAGGAAAGTGTGAATCCTTCTAAAATTTAACAATTTTTATCAAAAGTAAACCTTAAAAAACTGTTTTAGTTTTTTATCTTATATATCATCATCAGCATCATCATTATTATTATTTATGTATTTTCCCTTTAAAATGACCCTATTTACTGCCGTTGATGACTTTTAATTGTTAATTGTTTTAATATTTTTGTGATTATATAAAAGTGGTATCATGACATTGACATAGAAGCTGAAATGGCAATAACATCTAAATTTTCTCTCTTTCGGCCAAAAATTGGCTAATTTTTTGTAGCTTTCAGTTATTTCTGAAATTAAGCAAGCTTGTATGTAAGCAAGCACTCAGAAACAAAGAATGATTCATTTTTAAAATACAGTAATTTAATAAGTAATGACCCTACAGCCAATAACGTGTCTACAGGCTGCTTTTACACTATCAAACATCCTTAACATCTAAAATAAATCTGGCTTTATTTTGATCCATGTGGCATAAACTATTCTTTAAAGAGTACACAGCGATTTGAAGACAAATATTAAAATGTAGCCGCCTGTCAGTCAGTGAGACAAATGTAGTTAAGTCATTTGGCTATTCTGTGCATGCAGAAAGTTCACTTACTGTGCACAGTATGCACACTGCAAAAATAATGAGAGCAGTATGCTAGTATGCTGTTTTGAACAAAGCCTATGTGGGTGTGTGGATACTGGTTGTTAAGATCAGGAAGTGTTCTTGGAATGCTGCCATAACAAATTCTGTTCCACTAGTTGAATACAAATGATGTGTGTTGCAGGAAAGTGTTGAAGCACAACAGAATTGTTGGCAATCATTTCAGCGGTTCACAGGATTCTTTTAAAAACATTTTGAAGTGTTTTAATGATTATATGCATGCCTTAAGGGTTGTGCTATAGACAGCTCTGCGTTCATTTCGGCATTCAGCACTCATTCTGGTAAAGAGTTTTGCAATCCAAACAAGCAGTGAACCCTATTTACTGCCGTTGATGACTTTTAATTGTTAATTGTTTTAATATTTTTGTGATTATATAAAAGTGGTATCATGACATTGCCATAGAAGCTGAAATGGCAATAACATCTAAATTTTCTCTCTTTCGGCCAAAAATTGTCTAATTTTTTGTAGCTTTCAGTTATTTCTGAAATTAAGCAAGCTTGTATGTAAGCAAGCACTCAGAAACAAAGAATGATTCATTTTTAAAATACAGTAATTTAATAAGTAATGACCCTACAGCCAATAACGTGTCTACAGGCTGCTTTTACACTATCAAACATCCTTAACATTTAAAACAAGCAGTGAACACACTGGAAATAATAGCATGTCCAGATAATCCAATTTCCCAGTTATTATACGGTTAGTTAGGCCTGAGTTGCAGACTGCAATGGTGTAATGCGTCTCACAACCATGTGGTTAATAAGCTGTACTAGCCATGTGAGAATCACATGTCAGCTTATGCCATTAACTGTTTATCAGGAGGACCTACATTATAAGTAAGCAACATATTTCAGTGTTGCCTGTTCTGGCTTTGTGGGTTACAGTGTTACCACTCGAGCTCTAGATTCAGTGCTTTTATTTGTAGTTTGTAATTATTTAGTGTACATTTTGTTAAATGGATGTAATTTGAAAGACATTTGACATGTCTTTATATTTATATTTTGGGATATTGCATAAATTGCTTCATAGAAATGTGCATAATCTCAAAATGATCTTAAAAAACTTTAACCATCAATTCTAACGATTAACTAATGGCCCTATTATTGGCTGTTTAATATTATTTATACAATATATATTTTGTATATTCTTATTCTACCCTCCTAATTTGACCTAATACCTAAAGCACAGGTGTCAAACTCGGTTCCAAAAGGGCCGCAGCTCTGCAAAGTTTAGTTCCAACCCTAACTAAACACACCTGATCAAACTAATTGAGTCCTTCAGGCTTGTTTGAAACCTACAGGTAAGTGTGTTGGAGCAGGGTTGGAACTAAACTGTGCAGGGCTTCGGCCCTCCAGGAATTGAGTTTAACACCCCTGACCTAAAGCTTACTACTTACTTAATACAGATAACCAATAATAATACTAATAATGGTAAAAATTAATTAATTCTATTTTTTTTATTACGCTTCATAAAAACAGTCTGTAGAAACACTTTGATTGACATTCTCTCTTTGTACGTGTCATCAGCGGGGGAAAGCCTCACCCATTAGTGACAATTTCTCCCTCATTAGCATAGACAGCCTTGAGTGAGAAGTAGCTATCCACCATTAGAGTTTCAAATCTGCCATTATGCTGACACAATAGCTGTGTCTGAAATTGCTTATTTTCATAGTTTATAGTACACTAATAACAGTATGTGAACCGAGTAGTGTGTCCGAATTCATAGAGTTTTAAAAAACAGT